TTTGACGACCACTTGCATCGATCTGTCACATAGAAATTCTTTGAGCCACCTTAGAAGGTCTCCCCCGATGCCTATGTGCCCAAGCTTGTCTAGCAGAATATGGTGACAGACAACGTCGAATGCTTTTGCAAAGTCAAAGAGGATAAGATCAACTATTTTCCCTTTGTCGATCTCACTTGATATATACTCGTAAGTGGACAGAAGCTGGTCCTCCGTAGACATCCCTGGTCGAAAACCAAATTGGTGATCGATGAAGATGTTGTTTTCATTGAGGAAGATGTTCAAACCATTAGAGATCAGTCTTTCCAGGCATTTTGCGGGGACTGATGGCAAACAGATCGGCCGGTAGTTCAAAGGATCGACGTGAGACCCCTTCTTGAAGATTGGTACCACGATCGATAGCTTCCAGAGTGAGGGGAGTGATCCTTCTTCCAGTGAGAGATGAAATATCCTGGATAGAGGGCGAGCCAGGTGAGCTGCACACTCTTTCAGAAAACGGGGATGAAGACCGTCTGGGCCCATAGCAGAATTCACGTCGAGATCCATCAGCACCTTCTTCACCTCTGCAGAGTCGAAATCGACGGATTCAAGTGCTCCATCACACTGTTGGTGAGGTGCTGGGTGTGACGGCACTTCAGGTCGATACACACTGGCGAAAGCTTCGGCAAAACATTCTGCCATCTCAATTGGACTGTCAGTTGTGGTGCTGTCAGGAAGTCGAATTGGTCCTACTGAGGAGCGGAACTTCTTCTTGCTGCGGAGGTGAGCATGTAGTAGCTTTGGGTTCTCCTTCATCTTCAGAAGTAGCGACTTTTCATATTCCACTTGCGAGTAGAAAGTGAAGAGGTGAAGCTCCTTATTGATTCGCATAAATGAAGAGAGGAGATCTTGAGTGATGTGCGATTTACGACCATGTAGAGATCTAGCACGCTTGTATTGTTGCCATGCCCTGGTACGTCTCGTCTTGAGAGATGTCGGAGGATTAGTCTTCCAGGGGACTTTGCTCTTTGGTTTGTTGCGATTAGAAATGGGGATATATTGGCGTATCAGTGGCTGTAGGACTTGAAGGAGCCTGTTGAAGGCCTCTTCTGCGTTCAGGTGCGCAAGTTCAACATCCCAATCCACCTCGCTGAGGACGTTGTTGATATTATTGTATTGTCCTTTGTGCCAGAGTATGTGACCAGGTGCGTGTGATGATGAGCAAATTTCTTTGTCGAATGTGTACTGACAGTGGATACTGCAGTGGTCACAGCCAGGTGGTGGGGGCCTCACCTCTACTTCATTTATCCTGTCTGATTCTGTTGTCAAAATCAAGTCCAATATGTTCCCTGATCGTGGAAATGTTGCCTCATGGATCCACTGGGTGAGTCCAAGTGTGTCAAACAAGTCCAAAAACTTCGAGTCTGATGAAGAGATGGGCTTCATAGAATCAAGTGACCAAGTGATGGTCGGTAGATTCAAATCTCCAATGAGAATGAGTTCTTTGCCAGTACATATTTGACGCAGGAATGCCATTAGCATGTCATTCTGTTCCGGTGAGTTCGAGGGTGGCCTGTATACTGCAACCACATGCAATTCCAGGGCGGACAGATGAAATATGATGACATTGGGGTAAGATGAATCAACATCCTCAACTTGAAGTCTTTCAGAGATGTATGCGCAAACACCATGTATACTTGAGCCCCCACTATCATTGCGCAGAAGTGAATAACCAGGTATTCTTACAACAGCATCTCCAACGTCTGGGGTTAGGTGAGTTTCTGATATTAGCAGTATGTCAGTGGTGTCATGCATATTGAGGATGTGTTGAAGAACGTTTAACTTGGTGCACAGGCCATTTACATTACAATGTGCAAAGTTTAAAACTTGAGTGTGGCTAGTTTGGCCATGCCATCTCAGTTTCCCGAGTTCCTGGGTGGGCTGTCACTTCGTGGGGGGTCTGGCTGAGTGGGAGCCGCTTGACAGGCTGGAGCTTCAGTGGCCGTGATCCCTTGGTCCCTTGGTGGACGGGGAGGGGGGCCTGTTTCGAGCTGTTTCGGAACAGTTTCTTCTGTACTTGAATGCTCACCAGGTGTCTCTGATGGCTCAGTATCTGGTTGGTGTTGAGCGTTGGGCATGTTTGACACTGTTGTTGTACCATCAACTGTTGGATGTTGGGCTTGGCGGGGTGCTGTCTGGTGCCACTCACTCTGCCGTGGCCGAGTTGCCAGCCTTTGTTGAAGCTCTTGACGCTGGGTATAGGTCAGATCTTTTCGGATGAATACATGTGAGTAAGAGGTGTACTTGAGTTCTCGTGCGTGTTCAAGTAACAGATTTCTTTGTCTGACGTTGTGGACGTTTCCCCGGTATAGATCTGTATCATTCTTGATTTGACATGCCTCAGAAAGCACAACTTTCTCACCTATCAGAAGCTCTGATATTTCGCCAAACTTGGCGGCTGCCTCAGCTGCAGTCTTAGCCCTGAGGCCCCTAATGACCAGAGAGTTTTGACGTTTCTTGCGTTCTTCTAGTTCTCGAAGCTCTTCACGAACGACTCTACGGTAGTTATCTGTTGCTTGCTGAATCATCTGAGGTGCACCCTGGGAAGGGTAGCTACTATGTGTTTGTGGGGGGTGAGGTTGCAAGTGGGGCCCCCTTAGTTTCTCTGCATATGTTGGGCCATCTCTTGCAGAGAGTGTTTGCTTCTCAGATGGGGGCAGGCTTCCTTGATCTGCAGCAGTGCCTGCTGTCAAATGATTTTTCACCGCCAGTTCAAGGTTGTTCACCTTCTTAATTAGTTCAGCTAGAAGGTCATTGTTTGCTGGCTGGAGTTGGTCCTGACAATTCTCTGTTTGCATAGCTGACTCACTCATGCAAGACCTGGGCTGAAGTTTGCCGAGATTTGGAAGTTTTCGGCATGAGTCACAGATAAATGACAGTACATCATATCTTTTCAGTGCATTGTAGGCGGCTTTGGCTATATCTTGGCAAAATGCATGAAACCAGTTTCCACAAAGATCGCATTGGACCCCTTGCTGGGAGTCTTTCACTTCCAGGTGGCACGTCAAGTTGCCTGGTCCGCCTGGACAGATGGAGGGGTTGAGATTGCCCCCATGGTTAGCCCGTACAACCGTAGGAGAAACACTGGTGCCAACATCAAGGGGTAGGAGGCCAATTGTATTAGCCACCGTACTCACATGATCCGGGGACGGATTCTGGTTTGTTGGAGTTTTACCATTTGGGCGGGACCTTGGTGGTGTTCTGTTTAGTGGCATTTTGTGAGTAATGCAGGCTGTGCAGGCATGCAAGGTGCAGACAGGACCACAACAGGGAGACAGACAGGACCCAGTGCTCAGCGGCAGAGCAAGTACTCCCTGAACAGGCACAGAAGCTTTGCAGAAGCTGATGAAGACCCAGAGACAGCTTTGCAGGGTCACTTGTTTGACCTTGTGTGACGTGCAGACTCATGCACTTCATGCAGCATGCATCAAGCAATATTTACAGCAAGTTGAAGAGCAACTGATTTTACTCTACGTGTCTTGATCCATTCGCCACGCTGCACGGCTGCACGATCTGTTTGTAAAGAATACAAAACAATGTGCTTACAGTTCTTGGCAAATTTGAAACGTTTTTTTTCCATAGCATTCTGTACAGAATTAACTAATAAACCAAGAATCAATAGCTGGCATCTGCAATAACAATTTGAAAATTTGGGCCAGGGTCCATGCATAGATGTACCCAAGGCAGTATGTACCTATCTACCTTGTTATCTGTTGTGCGGTATCATATATGGAGAGAAAGCTAACTCCACTGTTGTGCTGAAACAAATGAAGACATTTTTTGTCCTAAAAGGACACAAAATTTGATTGATGAAACAAACTTAAAATGTATCAAATCAAAGAAGGTCTGGGTAGCATTTTCGTGCATCTTGCTTTTTTTGAATTATCAAAAAAAATCCTGTCAAAGTATTTAACTGATTGTGTTTTTAGTACTTGTGCTATCTAGCATTTACACAATCGCACATTACCTATTTGTAGTATCGGATGCGGCAGTGATTTAGTGACTGCGTTATCCGCGGCCTTGGAAGAGACTATTCAGTTTGTTGTGCGCCACAGTTGTGTTGTCCTGTATAGTGGTGACTGCGTGATGGTTTTTGCAGACGTGGACAGAGGGCATAAAAGGGACTGCTGGAAAGTGAATACCTGGTGAATACAGTCTTCGGTGAAGGGACACGAGGCTCTGGCTGGGCAGGCGGTGCGGCACGAGAAGGAGATAGCGACGTCGGTCACTACATTATGGCGACGAGCATGAGATGGTATTAATTTTAAGGCCAGTATCTTGATTTTGCCGTGCTCATGCCTAACTACGACGTGCCGCTGCCTGCGCCGTTTTTGCCGCTGCCGGGCAAGCCTGCGAAGCCTTGGGAAACATGGCATGATTACTTTACGGACATTTTCTTGGTGGCTGCGGCGGGTGAGGGTGCACCTATCTCGCCGAGGGTTGCGCGAGCCCTTCTGATTTCTGCGTTGGGTGAAGAGGGCCAGCGAATTTTTGACACCTTGCCTGAGGGCGTCAAGGTAGAAGGTGAGACCGAGTTTGCTGCTGCTATTCGCCAACTCGACTCTTTCTTTGTGTCGAAAGCGAACGTAATTGTGGAGCGTTTTGCTTTCAGACAGCGTTCACAGCTGCCCACAGAAAGTACTGCTGAGTATGTGTCTGTGTTGCGGGGGCTTGCGAAAACCTGCAAGTTTGGGCCCATGGAAGATGAGTTAATTCGGGACGTGGTGGTGGAGAAAACTTTGCACTCTCGCCTCCGGGAGAAGTTCTTGCAGGATAGTTAGCTAACTCTTGCGAAAGTCTTGACTACTGCAGAAGCCTTTGAGCGTTCAATTCACGAGTCGCACATGATGATGAACCATCCCGATGTGTCTCAGTCTGTTGCCAAAGTGTCCCCAAGCAAGCCACCCAAGGGTCCGAACCTGAAAAAGTGTGGAAGCTGTGGCCGTACTGACCATAATGCTGCATCTCTCCAGTGCCCAGCCCGGCGTGCCGAGTGCCGAGTTTGTGGGAAGAGGGGACACTTCGCGGTCATGTGTCCGGACCGCGCAGCAGGTGCCACAGCAGCCCAGTCCAGCCACAGACCTTCACAATGTCCGAAGAGCAGAGGTATGGTCAAAGAAGCCTTTGTGTTAGCATGCCAAGCACAGAACCTCAGTAAAGTAAAGTGCCCAGTGACTCTATCTGTAGGAGAGAAGTGTCACGAAGTTGAGTTGCAAGTGGATACTGGGGCAACATGTTCAATCCTGAGCCTTGATGTTGCGCGGGCCATGTTCAAGGGCTGCAGGTACAACCCCAGTGATGCAAAGCTGTTCGGGTTTGGCAAGACCCCGCTCAAGGTTGTTGGCACTCTGCCAGTGAGAGTTCAGCATGGTGATGCAGTTGCGGAAGTGTCCTTCTACCTGGTGGAGACGAAATCGTCAGAGAGGTTGATGGGACTTGACCTCATGCAAGCCCTGGGTCTGTCCATCCAGAGTCACAGTGGCCTGACCCTGCACCCCGCCTCTTGTTCTGTGGACAGTGTGACTGCAGAAGCGGAGCTGCCAGCCATCACCGGGTACGAGCACCGCATCGTCCTTCGTCCAGATGCTGTGCCGACTGCGTACCGGCTGCGCAGGCTGCCACTCGCCGTCAGGGAAGAGGTCTCCCAGGAGTTGCAGCGTCTTCTCAGGGCTGGGGTGATCGAGAGGATCGATGCATCCCAGTGGGTGAGCCCTCTGGTGGTGTCTCGCAAGCCAGATGGGAAGATTCGCCTCTGCGTGGACCTACGTGGTCCCAACTCCCAGATTGTTCCCGAGGTACACCCTCTGCCGACCATCGAGGAGCTGCAAAGCCGTCTTCAGGGTGTCATCTACTCGAAGCTAGATCTGCGCTCTGCGTACCACCAGCTGAACCTCCAGGAGAGCAGCAGGGACATCACCGCCTTTATCACTCATGATGGGCTGATGCGGTTCCGAAGGGTTCCGTTCGGACTGGTGTCAGCTGGTTCAGCCTGCCAGAAGCTGCTGGATGACCTGTTGGATGGCATCCCTGGATGTGGCCATTACATGGACGACATCCTCGTCTCTGGGAAGACCCGAAGACAGCATGACGAGCGTCTACGGAAGGTGCTGGACCGACTGAGAGCTGCAAACGTCACCATCAACATGGAGAAATCGGTGTTCTCCTCTGCAGAAGTGGACTTCTGTGGTCACCGGATGACAGCAAGTGGCATCACTCCGTCAGACTCCACGGTGCAGGCGGTGAGGGACGCGCCGAGGCCCACGGGCGTGCAGGAGCTGCGGAGCTTCATGGGCCTCGCCGGTTGGTTTGCCAAGTTCATCCCAGCCTACGCTGACGTCGTTCGCCCTCTCGCCTGTATGCTGCGGAAGAACGTGAAGTTCACCTGGTCTGAAGAAGCTGAAGAGAGTTTCCAGACGGTGAAGAGGCTGATCACCAGTCGTCCGATCCTGCAGCCGTTCCAGTCTGCACTGCCGATCATCGTGACGTCGGACGCCTCTGACCGGGGCGCCGGGGCGGTGCTGGCTCAGTTGCATCCGGACGGCACGGAGCACCCAGTTTCGTACTGGTCGAGGAGCTTCACAGACACCGAGCAGCGCTACTCAGTGTCTGAGCGTGAGGCCCTCAGCGCCGTCCAGGCCATCGAGAGGTGGAAGCTCTACCTGTGGGGGAGATTCTTCACCCTGCGGACCGACCATTCCGCACTGACCACCCTGCTCTCGCCGAAGTGTTCCGGCAGAGCCGGAGCGAGGATCGCCAGGTGGCAGGCGCGTCTGCAGCCGTTCGCCTACGAGGTTGTCTACACCGCTGGGAGCACGGGGAGCGTCCCCGTGGCAGACGCCCTGTCTCGATTGCCGCTCAGCTGCCCCGGACCGTCAGAGGACGACTCGGGCGAGGACGTCGTGGCGCTCGTCTATGCAGAGGCAGCCGCAGGAGAAGCCGTCCTCACCGAAGAGAAGGTGCGAATGGAGTCGAAGACGGATCCTGTCCTGCAGCAGTTGAGGGACGTCATCGCCAGAGGCTGGCCGGACTCGGCGAAGCGCTGCACGCCGGAGGTGAAGCCGTACTTCGCTGTTCGTCACGAACTGCAAGTTCGCACTGATGACGTCATCCTCCGAGGACCGGATCGGGTGATAGTGCCCAGCGCACTGCGAGCGGAGTACCTGTCAGCAGCCCATCGGGCCCATGATGGGGTCGTACGCACCAAGCAGTTGCTGCGCAGCCTCTCGTGGTGGCCAGGGATGGATAAGGACGTGGCGGCCCTGGTGGGCGCCTGCGACCGCTGCCAGGCCAGCGACAAGGTCCTCAGCCAGGCGGTGAGGAAGACGCCGCTGCAACCGGTACCCTACCCGGACAAGCCATGGTCCCAGCTGGGACTGGACGTCGTCGGACCGCTGCCCGGAGCGCCAGCACACGCGCGGTTCGCTGTGACGTTGACCGATTACGGAAGCAAGTGGGTTGAAGTGGGTCTCACGTCGACGGTAACGACATCGGACATCATCCGCATCTTGTCGTCTGTCTGGTCCCGGGAGGGATATCCGGACGTTATCGTGACAGATAACGGCACCCAATTCACCAGCAACCAGTTCCGTACCTACCTCAAGGAGCGGAACATCGAGCATCGACGGTCTTCCGTCTACTGGCCCCGAGGAAATGGCGCAGTGGAACGGTTCAACCGGACGCTGAAGACCTGGTTCGTGGCTGCTGTTAACCAGAGCGAAGTGTCGCTGCAGCAGTACCTCCAGCTGCAGCTGGCGAGGTACCGGGCCACCCCACACTGCACGACCGGCAGGGCGCCGTCTGAGTTGCTACACGGCCGGGTGATGCGGCTCGACCTACCAGTCATCGGCCAACCTGCTTCACCCGACCGAGAAGTTCACCGGAGGGTTGAACGGCAACAGCGGCGGAACCGCCGCAACTACAACAGCCGGCAGGCCGTCCGCCCAACCCGGATCCAGGTTGGAGACGTGGTGCGTGTGAAGATACCGGGACACATCAGGAAGGACGACCGCAAGTTCTCAGAGCCGCTCAAGGTGACGCGGCAAGTGGCCGCTGGCACGTTCGAGCTGGAGAACGGCACAAGGTGGAACTCCGCACACCTGGCGCGCGTTCCGGACACCGGACAACGAGCTCCAGATGGGGAATCTCCGACCGGCGCTCCGGGCGCGCCCCCTGCGGTGCGGTCGGAGGCCGGACAAGTCGGCTCTGACGCGCCGTCGCCGCTGAGCGCGCCCCTGGCGGCGCGGCCGGGCGCCGGCTCGGAGCCGCCGCCGGTCTCGCCTCCACGGTGCTCGCCGCCCCGTGCGGACCGGGCGGCGCTGCCCGGGGCCGGTCCCGGGCCGGCGACGCCGGAGCCGACGGACGTCACGTCGACGCCGACTACGGGACGGACCCGGCGAAGTGCGGCTCGATCGCCGACTGGCCGCCGGTCGTCGCCGTCGGTGGAGGGCCGGCCCGACTGCTCGGGGGCGAGCGACGTCGCTTCGGGGTCACCCCGGAGGTCGGCGCGGCGGACGGATCGCGAGCTGCAGCCCTCGGCCCGCGGTCGGCGTCGTTACGCGCCGGACCGTTATAGTCCGGGGTAAAGTACACCTGTGTATCATGTAACCGTGGGGATTCCTTAAGGGAGGGGATATGTAGTATCGGATACGGCAGTGATTTAGTGACTGCGTTATCCGCGGCCTTGGAAGAGACTATTCAGTTTGTTGTGCGCCACAGTTATGTTGTCCTCTATAGTGGTGACTGCGTGATGGTTTTTGCGGACGTGTACAGAGGGCATAAAAGGGACTGCTGGAAAGTGAATACCTGGTGAATACAGTCTTCGGTGAAGGGACACGAGGCTCTGGCTGGGCAGGCGGTGCGGCACGAGAAGGAGATAGCGACGTCGGTCACTACACTATTACACTGATGATAATAAATAATATACCTACTTATCAAATATTCTGCTCAGAAATTCAGAATAGAACATAAAATGCATGACCTGCTGCAGCTGCTGATGTAGGCATTGATTCAAGATGTGAGTTTATTTTATATGAATAGATTTTGATGCAGTAGGTAATGACTAATGAGACCTTTTCAACTACATTGGTGGTGTTACTTGATACTACAAATATCTTGCTATTTAGTATTTAACACTATTTTCTTTAGCTGCCAGGACTCAATAGTTGATGGTTACGCACTTTCATTGATGTACATTGGTCTAAAGATGATGCTAATTGTGATAAAATATACCTAATGGTCATGCTTCCGCAAATGGCATTTGGCATCATGCTGCCTTTGTGGTTTGTCAAAATCTGTTCTGTATATCAAGCCTAAAATATGTCAACCCCCATGCTTTTAAAAAAAGGTAGGTGATCATGTAGTAAGCACTGGTGATTCACTTGCCTGGTCAGTGATCATCCAAATACTTGGAGTTGGGACCAATATCATGATGCATCAGCTTGCCTCGCTTGAGTTCTCAATATGTTCTCAGTCTTTTTAGGCTTCAAGACACAGGCATTGTTAATGGCTCATTCACACAAAGTAGCAAAAGCTTGTTCTCAGCATGCTTGTTTGTACAAGTGTTGTTCTGTTTCCAGGACTCTTATCTACTGCAACTCTGGATAAAACAAGAGTGGACCTAAGTCATGTCTGCTCAAAAATGGCCGGAGGGCGACCCGAGTTCATTCTCCTTACCAAAGCAGTCAGTTGTCACGGCCGTCCACCTCAAGCTGCGTGTTGACTTCAGTAGCCGGGTGCTCACGGGCTCCGCCGACCTGACTGTGGAGCGGCGTGACCCGGCCGCTACGCACGTGGTGCTGGACACGCGCGACCTCACCATCACCGCCGTCACTGACGCCGCCACGGGCGCGCCGCTCTCCTGGACCGAGGGGGAGCCGCAGCCGGCGCTGGGTCGGCCGCTGCGCGTGCAGCTGCCCGCCGGCCAGTCGGTGCAGGTGTCGGTCGCCTACAGCACGCAGCCGTGCTGCACGGCACTGGCCTGGCTGGAGCCGGAGCAGACGGCCGGCCGTGCCCACCCGTACGTTTTCTCGCAGTGCCAGGCGATCCACTGTCGCTCCATGGTGCCGGTGCAGGACACGCCGGCTGTCAAGTTCACCTACACGGCCGAGCTGACCGTGCCGGGGGAGCTCACCGCACTCATGTCCGGCCTGCGTGATGGCAGCGAAAAGTCGGGCGAGATGACCACGTTCCGCTTCCGCCAGCCCGTGCCTGTGCCGGCGTACTTAATAGCGATAGCTGTTGGCCAGTTGGAGTCACGGTCTCTTGGAGAGCGTTGCTCAGTGTGGTCTGAGCCAACGGTAGTGGACAAGGCCGCCAACGAGTTCGCCGAAACGGAGAAGATGCTGGAGACAGCAGAGTCCATCTGTGGGCCCTATGTATGGGGTGTCTATGACCTTCTAGTGCTTCCTCCTAGCTTCCCATACGGTGGCATGGAGAACCCATGTCTAACCTTTGTCACGCCCACCCTCCTCGCCGGAGATCGGTCACTAGCCGACGTCGTAGCCCACGAAATCACGCACAGCTGGACTGGAAACCTCGTCACCAATCGCAACTGGGAGCATTTTTGGCTCAATGAGGGCTTCACGACGTTCGTCGAGAGGAAGATCCAAGGTCGAATGCACGGGGAGCCCGCAAGACACATGTCTGCTGCCGGAGGATGGAAGGGGCTGAAGGAAGCCATTCGTACACGTGGCAAGGATGACCCACTGACGTGCTTGGTGCCGCGTCTGGAAGGCGTCGACCCTGATGACGCCTTCTCTTGTGTGCCGTATGAGAAGGGTCACTCGCTCTTATGGTACCTTGAGCAGCTGGTCGGCGGACCGGAGGTGTTTGAGCCCTTCCTCAAGGCATACGTGGCGAAATACAAATTCACTACGCTTGACACTGAAGACTTCTGCTCATTTCTGTTCGAGTTCTTTTCGGACAAGGTGAAGGAGGGAGTGTTCTCCCAGGTGGACTGGAAGGCGTGGTTCAGCACTCCCGGCATGCCGCCTTACGAACCCACTTTCGACACATCGCTCACAGACGCGTGCAGCACGCTGTGCCGTCGCTGGGTGGACTGGGATGACAGCCAGGAGGCGCCATTCACCAGTACCGATCTCGATGCACTATCATCGAACCAGATCGTCGAGTTCCTGGCTCAGCTGATGGAGGAGCCACCGCTGACTCTCACCAAGCTGAAGAAAATGGAGGAACTGTACGGGATGAACGCTCGCGGTAACGCCGAGATTCGTTTCCGCTGGCTGCGGCTGTGTATCGCCGGAAGGTGGATAGACCAGGTGCCGGCTGCACTCGAGATGGTCACCACTCAGGGCAGGATGAAGTTCGTCCGCCCTCTGTACCGTGATCTTTACGCCTGGGAGGATGTGCGTGAACGTACCATCGATACATACGAGAAAAATAAGCAGTACATGATGCACGTCTCGTCACACACTGTTGCCAAAGACCTCAAACTGATCGAGTGAACATATGACCTTAGAGTCTTAGACACTGCATCATTGTCCACTGACGATCTCTAGGCTATATCGTGATCCCTTGATCGGGGTGGGGCTAGGTTTTGGTTTTCTCTAACGCCTGTAAGCACATCAAGATGTGGTTTGGTCATTGGTGTTGGCGTTTCTTGAGACTGGACAGGTCAATACACGATTTTTAGGAAGGGGAGCAGGTCTTGGTCATCGGTGACTCGTTGTGAAGGCCATTTTTACTGACAATCTTATATGAAGTGATCGAAGGTCAAGATGACGGTTTCTGCAATAAAGCGCTAGGTACGTAGGTACCTAACAGCGTGACGACCGGCACCACCAACTGCGTGCCCGGCCCCGATACACTTCACGACACAAAGTTATTCAGAAAGTAATATACGTTTCACGTTTGGATGTTTTGACGTGTTTTTTGGAAGGTATTTCCTTGTTTGCTGAATTTCCCGTGATTTCGGGCCAACATTTACGAAAATGCCGAGTCACTATGAAAGTAGGTACTCCTGAAGTGAAAAGGTGGAAAATATTAAATACCTAGATAGAAAATACCTGGAAAATACGGGACTGAGATCGGTCTGTTTGGACAAAATTTGGAGGGTAAGCTGTTTACGGTATGGATAATAAGGACGAAAGTCGACTGTTGAGTACAGAAAGTGTGTTCGGTAAGCTGGGGCCTTTTGAGGTTTGTTTTGTTGGGATAGGCCCTTTCGGTCTGACAAGACCATTTCCGAGCCGGAAGGATGCTAGGAATTTGAATTAGGGGGAGACATTTGGTCTGGGCATGTAACCTAGTGAGTCACCGGGGCTGAGTTCGTCCCAGACTCCCAAAGGAAAGACCGACCAGCCCCCAAGTAACTCACCGCTCTCTGCTACGAGTGTCCTCCCTTGGGAGCAGCGGTACCGCTCCAGCTCCAAGGGAGCAGCCCGCATGAGGTAAAGTTGCCTGTCCAGCCCGGACTGAGAGTTGCGGAGTGGAGGAGAGGGGTTTGAACGTCCTGAGGATGGAAATGACGGACTGGGTGACCGTTTGAGGAAAAAGGCTGGCTTCATAAATACTAATGCATGGGTTTTATCGTTAGGAATGCTGAATTAGTTAGTTGTTTTTAGCAGCTTTTTAGGGTCTGTATGGGCCTTGGTAACAACTGGATTTCCATTACGTCATGGGTGATGATGTCACACTACGGGTGACGTTTCACTGCTGCTGCTGCTGTCCACGGAGGGCAGCGTTTGTGAGTGGAAAACAGTAGCAAAATTGTAAATGAAGGCAGTATTGGCGCTTATGCTACATATGAAATTTATAACAACATTTGATATTAGTGAATGTTTATTTTTGTTACTTTTCATAAACCCTCCATTCCAGGGTCTGCATGGAAAAGTTCTGTTATTTTAGAGTCAAGCTATTGTACTAAGGGATTTATTTTGGCAATTTAGTCATTTGTGAGTTTATAAGGCTGCAGAAACTTTAAGTAGAGGTTGGTATCCACTATCCAGTTCACAGTTGCAGCTATAATTGTGTCATATTTTGTATCATTTTCTGAACATGTAAACACCTACCTATATGAATTCAAATATTGTGATTGTAGAAAAGCAGTCACCCTCACATTGCAGCGGGGATTAGAACAATTAACCACACTTGTTATACAAAAAGCCTGTTTGCCATCAATTTTAGGAATTCAAATTAGGTATTGGTAAGGTAGGTGTAGCACAAGCTGCCTGATGCACGAGAATGGGTCTTTCTAACCAAACCTTACCTAACCTGACCTACAACCTACAGCCTTAAACCTAAAATTTACAACCTACGACCTAGTCCTACGGTATGGCATATCACAACAGCTTGTGTTACGTCTGCTACCATGACCCAACTTTGTTCCAATTCATACCAACTTGGGATGACAGTTACTGCAGATGTGTGCTGACCATGCAGGTCTTTGTTACAATTGCAATTCTATTGTGCTACAGGTTCGGCGTTCTACAGCTGCGACCCGCCATAGCTGGGCCACCGCGGCGGCATCACCTTCAGGGTGGACCTGCCCGTGGTCACCCGCTGGTCGGACCCGCCTGCAGGCCGCAGGGAAGCTGCCCTGTGAGCCATTGCAGAGCTCCCGCACCCGGACGTCACTATCTGGTCGGACGGCTCGGCTCACGGCGGGACAGAACAGGGCGGTGCAGGCGCTGATCCAGTTCCACCACCTCAACATAGAAGAGACCGTGCGCGCTCCTGCAGGGGCGGTCTGCTCCAGCCTGAGAGCAGAACTGACCGCCATGCGCGAGGCGTTCGCGGCTGTGGCCGGCCTGGAGGACGGGGAGTTGGCATCGACCAAGTCGGTCCGCCTCCTCACCGACTCAAGGTCTGGGCTCCAACTACTCGGCCGCGGCCCAGGGCCCCAGCTAACCAGACCATGGCCCTGGCCGCCGAGGTGTGGAGGCTGCTGAGTGCTGAGCACCCTCGCCGAGAACGGCACCGAGACGGTGCTCCAGTGGGTGCCAGGCCATGCCGGGCTGGACGGCAACAAAACCGCCGACCGCCTGGCTGGCGAGGCCACGGCGGGCGACCAAGACAGCGCACCGATCGACCTGTCGAGTGCGCGGGCCGCCGTCACGCGCCATGTCCGGGAGCTGTCGCGACAGAGGGCAACCGCTGCCCACCCGCACCCGGACCCCACGCCTGGCCACGACTCCCTAGCGCGCTGGGGGTCGGTGACGCTGTCCCAGCTGAGGACCGGCACATCACCGCTGACCCGTGACACGCTCCACAAGATTGGCCCGGCAGCCAACGACGAATGCCCCGCGTGCGTGGAGCCCGACAGCGCGGCGCACCTACTGACCGATTGTCCGGCCTATGAGGCGGCCCGCCGCCGCCGCTGGGGTGTCGACCCTCGCCTGGTCGACGTCCTCGGCGGCCCGGCGACGAAGGTCGTCACCTTCATCGAGGATGTTAGGCGGGCCGAGCCGCCGCTCGACCCGCCGCCCCCCTGAGCGGGTTGGCGGTGGGATGCAGAAGAAGAAGAAGAAGCAACTGCCAGCGCGCCACGGCGGCGAAGCCGAGTTCCGCCGCTGGACCGCCCGCGCAATGGCCAGCACAGACAAGAGACAACCGAATCACAACACCTACAATTACGTTATTGTTATGGTATTGACATTGTTACAATTAACCCTGCTCTTTTGAGCGTGGATGCACGCTGAAATTGTCGCATAATTCCATGCAGCTTCCACCCTTCTGCAATACAAAGTTTGAATACAAAGTAGTCTTGCAATAGGTTTAGAACTTATGTGCAGATTGTCGATGCTGGTTGACTTGATGATTGGAATTGTGTTTATCTGTTTCATCTGTTTTGACTTAAATATATGTCCATGGACACTATGGCCTACCTTGGGATGTGTCTCTGATTTCAGCAAAACATTTTTCATCAGGGTACACTGCAGTGTACATACGTAGTGAAACTTTTGAGCATGTATGGGTGCGCATGTGGAGATGTAGACTGCGAATGAGACAGACTACGACGGTTTTTGAACTAATTTAATCTGATTGACAACATAATGTAGGACTTAAGACTGACTGTCAGAAGAATATTCAAAGAATATTCACTTCACCCGGTACAACGAAAAGGGAAAGTCGGGGAACAGAGAACATCTCGAAGATCGAATTGCAGTTGCCGCCTGCAGGTGCCGATTGGTTATGAATCATCGCAGCTCAACCATGCAGCAGTGCATGGCAGCGCAGCGCCCTGCAGCTCGGGGCCGTGAACCGCCGCCTTGACAAAGTGTCTGCAACCCGCAACCTCGAGACCGGCTCGCCATCTGGCGGGGTGTGCCGAGCGCCACCTGGAGCAACTGCCAGCGCGCCTCAAGGTACTGCCATGTGCTGCTTTATTGTTAACTGAAATTGCTACCACCTTGTATTGAAAGAAGTCATTATGCAAGATTTTAAAACGGTTCTTAAAATTTTTTGAACACTTTGAATTGATATTTCTGCAGAATTATAAACCCGTATCATTCTTTACATGTGAATATTTGTATATTATCTAGCGTATAAGAAAATAGTGGCCTCAAGTTTCTAGAAAATATCTGATTTTGCTCTCTGGGCCATTGCAGATCCCTAAAAAGTTAGGAGCCGTCTTCATTATTTAATGTATAAAACCAAATAAATTATCACTGCTCAAAAGTGGAAGAAATGACAAATGAAAAAAAGTTTTCCTACAGCGTTGCAATCCAGATTCTGAGATAGTGATGGGCATACTAGAAAGCAAGTAAAAGGTATTGTAAAATTAAAGTACTCCACAAGGTAAAAGTAAGGAACAAGAATATCCTTATACTGTTTCAGAATTTGGTAACAAACATTTTTTATGTGTTTTAAATACCCGAACGAATTGATTCCAGAATCAGTCTTGATGATATTATATGGTTTTTGTATGGTATTGGTGGTACTTGAATGACCAGAGTCAGTACATGTCCATCACCTTTCGATATTTCCGTGGTGCTCGCTACCATTTCATAGCTGCTCACGGTGTTTTCTGCTGACGTCATATGGTGCTGCTCCACTAGCGCCACCATACGGCGTCAGCTGGCGAATTATCCAGTTAATACCAGAGCCCGTCTGTATTTCGTTTATATCACTTTGCCAGCAATGCACCAGTGTAACGTGATCGAAGAGGGTTCTGCTTTGACCCATGGCCTCGTGATATATATTTATTGTACAAAACATTTAAAGCAGCTTCTTGAGTAATTTAAACCAAAAGGGCTTCAAATTCTGTGAATTTTGATCCAGTTTTCAAAAACATACTCACATTTATAGCTAAAAATGGGAATAAATTAAGGAAAATTTGGAAGTCACGTGACAAGAGGACCATCCCAAATGATTCGCTCCGGGCCCGATTCGCGGACGGTGCGCTTGTGCGGCGTTTATTTTTCCATATGATGTTATGTAATTAAAACCAAATAATTGTGGAAATGTGCGCTGTTATTTAACAGGCATCCTAGCATACGATTTTTTAGTTCCGAGCACAGTGTATATTAAAAGGTTCTTCCAGGTTCCGAGCTGGTCAACACTGTATAAAGGCAACACTTGTAATATTACATTTATTGTAATGGACAAGGCTCGTCAGTTTGTACACAAAAACTTGGTTATGATAATAGGTATACCATCTTTGATTGGACTTCATATGGGATGGACCTGGATTCAGAATCAAGATATGTTTGTGCCAAAGGAGCAGAGGAAGGATCTGCCTCTCATCATTGTAAGGATTATGTAGGCCTAAGGATTTTATATCATGCGGCCGTGTCCATAGCGTTCAGAGCTAGCTCCCCTGTGCACTGTGTTATTTGTAACCTGCTCTTCTTTTTCTTATCATATGATGTGTTCATTTGTAACAAAATATGCATACCTAATAAGCTTTAAAGGAAAAGGGCCACCTTTAACATGGGGATTGAAACTGAGATAGCCATCTTGTAGCCCGTGTCCGAAAACCTGTCTGTCTACCTCCTTACGGCCGAGTTCGGCCTCCATTCGTAGTTATCGGCAATTTTAAAAGAAAATACGCCAGGAATGTGTCCTTATCCCAGGAATGCGTTCTTATCCGACTATACAGCCACCCGCGGCGAGGCTTTGGTTTTTTACCAATCAGCTCGAACCAGCTCAGCTTTAACCAATCAGCTTATCTGACACAATCCGACGAGTCTGTCTTCTGAATGCTGATTGGCTTGAGTGTGACGTCATCGCTATGCCATCATACAGTAGGTGCCGTAGAGAGTATCAACATAGTACCAATATGTTAAATAGTTTTAAATACTTTTTCGCGAATTGTGCACTTCTGGCACCAGTTTTAAAAAGAAAATGAAAAATAATAATGTCAAAATGAAAAACAATGATATCTTCATATTTCACGAAGGTGGCCCTTTTCCTTTAAGTACCTATCTTGCATTATACTGACCTAGCTCAATACGCTATTTGTAATGCTACTGTATTTGTTTCAGGGAGCAAAGAACATTGAACAGACTGTTTTGGAGAAAGTTGACTCCATGAGGAAAGAATAGGCCTGCTGTATGGGTTGATGCATAAGTGAATATGGTAAGGTTTTGGTATTACGTTACTAGGTACGTTTATTTTGATAGGTTCTTTTGCATTGGTATTGTTGGTTTTATACCTAGTTGATGATTCTAGAGATGATAAATAAATAAATTTATTTGATCCAAAGGTACCTACCATGGCATGCATACCTATTGGTGGATGTGTTGTGTTAAGCATAGCCAGCATCAGTTTAAGTTTTCTTTTGAGTCTCTTTTGTTAGTCTGTCTTTAAATCAGATCAGACTTTACTTAAATCAGGTCAAATCAGGTCAAATATTTTGGATTTAGATGTTAAAGCTTAAATAAATTTTGTGAAGATTTTCTAGCAATAACTCCTTAAACTGCTTCAATATGATCTACTTTCCATTGACTTGTCTACTTTCCATTGAGGTTATGTACGTAACATGTTTTAGGATATAAAATGTGTTGTTGACACTTACAGCTGGCTATGATTAAGCATAATTGATGCTAAGATGTTTAGCACATTGTAAGAGAAATGCTAGGCATATAACAGCTGTTATAGCTAGCTAAGCAAGCTGTGCAGCCATTGACCAGGCCCTGCTTCTTTCACAGAGTGGAGTGACCCGTGAGCAAGTGGCGCCCAGGCCAGTGTCCTGTGTGTCCCTGAATGATGTGGAAGTGGTGGCCGGTTTCTCGTCGCTGGAGTCGCTGCTGCGTCGCGGTCTGGGCGGCGGCGGCGGTGGCGGCTCGGCGGTCAGCTCGGAGACGGGTCTGCTGACAGTGGCGGCCAGCTCGGAGCGGCTGCTGGCCGCGCTGCCGGCGCCGCGGCCGCCCCTGGCGCTACTCACCGCCGCTGTTCGGCACCAGACTGACGTCTGGAAGGACGGCGGACTGGCGGCCGGCGCGCTACTGGCCGGCCTGCTGGCTCGGCTGCTGCGGGTCACTGGCCCGCGGCACCGGGTGCGTGCCGCGCTGCGGGAGGTCGCTGCCGAGTGCCGCCGGCTGGCCGCCGCCCAGCAGTTGCGGCTGCAGCTGGAGGTGCCGCAGCTCCTGGCCGTGGTCGACACCGTGCTGCGCTCCAAGCGCCTGCTGCCGCTGACGGCCGGCGAGCGGCGCCACCTGTCTCTCCAGCTGCTGCGCGCCTTCCTGCTGGTGGTGCCTGTCGAGCCGGTCGGCGACCGCGCCGCGCTCGGTCACGTACACGTGCAGCTGGTACCGAGCGGCGAGCCGCTGGACTCGGCGCCCGTGTCGGCGCTGCTGGTCCCCGAGCCGGCTCTGGACGACTACCCTCCAGCCCAGGGGCGCGGCCAGCGCCGCTGCCTGCTGTTTACACCACACCTGGGCGAACAAGGTGAGGAGGCGCTGGATGGGATGGAGGTGAGCCTATCCGCCGAGATGTCCACCCGACCTCTGTCAGCTGATCGCTGGCAGACGGCACTGATGCGGCTGCCGCTGCGGTCCGGAGACGTGATCGCATGTCAGCGCACAGTTCCTGTATCACTTCGCCGAGCACTAGCCGGTCGTGGCGTCACAGTACTAGAGCGTCTGGGTTCACGGGGCGCCTCACTGCTGACACGTCTGAGCGGCGCCCGTCCGCTAGCCGGCGTCAGTCTTCTGGCGGGGGTGGCTGTCGAACTGTCCGCCGAAGACGGAGGACCTGTCGAGCTGGTGGGCCGTTTGGACGCGGTGGTTGTTCGGACGCTGGGCGGCCGGCCGCACGCCGAGCTGCGCCGCGCTGACTCGCCCGTGGTGACCCTACTGGTGCACTGTGCCCACCCGGAGCCGCTCAGGGACGAACTGGAGGTGAGGGTCCACGGCACTCAGCTGAGTAGGGCTGCGGCCGTAACGGCGGCTTAGTAAACCAGAAAACCAACCCGTAACTAATTCACTGTAATCAATTAGTAACCAGTAATTCATTTGTTTTTCAACTTATTCCACTCGCCGATTTACTTGGAACGATTTACCGCCATGCTATATCGCTTACGATGCGTAGTTTTCGGGCAGCTGTGTACTGGTATGCTATTTTTTTTTTCACTGACTGAACTCTGAGTGGTTGTGCGCCTGTTTGCAGAGGCAGCTGGAGTCGGCGCTGTTTGCCCTCTGCTGTCTGCTCGGGGAGCCCACAGTCGTACCCGGCGGCGGCTGTCTGGAGGTGGTGCTGCTCGGCCAACTCGCTCAGCTCGTAAGTATGAATACCGTCTCTCTAATGCATACATGACGGTTTGTAGGATGGAACGCACTGCCTCATTCAACATGACTCACTTTTTACTCCAATCTACAATCTACGATACTGTATCTTTGATCACGTTACAGTTTTCTCAAGTCAGTGAACAAATAAATAAACCAACAAAAGGAATCCACAATAGTGTTGTCACTAGGTATGTTCGCTGGTGATGAGACAACATCAACGTGCAACCCCCAATGAAACGAATTTTCATTAGTTAACAATTTATTCTACTGAACATGCCAAGTGCGGTCTTGTTTGTGTAATGGCAAATAATGCAAACACTGGCTGGTTGTATGAAGCAATCATGGTGTCGGTGCGGCTGCATTAGCCAGTAGTTACGAACGATCGGTACTAATTATCCCGCTGGGAATAAACAACGCATACTTGCTCTGCAGAACAGAACACTGATGCGGTTGTCCTTAGCCCCGGGCAGAGGTGGCCTTCTGCTCCCAGCCCTCCAGCATATGGACCATGGCGCAGGCGTAGGCGGCCTCCTCAGTGAAGCACTCGTCGAAGCTGTCCACGCTGCTGGCGGCGCCCTTGCTGTCACAGGTGTCGATGATGACCACGAGCGCTGCGCGCATCATGTCCGGTCCCTCCGCCTCAACGGCCAGGGCCCGCAGCGCGGCCACGTCCACTCCGCCGGCGCCGTCCTCCGTTCCCATGGTGGTGTGCCAGCAGCTGGCCGCGCCCAGCACCATCTCCGGAACGTTGGCGAACGCCTCGTCTAGAGGTCCATACAGCTCCTCCGCGCGGGCCAGCGTCTCGTTGAGCTGCTCCAGGGAGACGGACGGCTTGGCACGCGTCGTCGTGCAGCGACGGCCCCTGCGCGTTTGCCGGCAGGTGCGCTTGGTTGCCGTTCCAAGGATTTCTTCTATGTTCTCCATGCTGGGCATCTGCATTTTGGACATGATGTCAGCGTTGCGCCGACGTCGGCGCCCGGTGCTCGTTGCTGTTTCGTCCAGGCGGCCTCTCATCAGTGTGGACACCTCCTCTGCGGCGCAGGCCGTCTGGGCCATCAGGGCTCGCGCCGGAGGCTGCAGGGCCTTCAGACACTTGCCATGCTTGAAGCGCATGATGAGGCCGAGTGTAGGTGACACGTTGTCCGCCACCGACAGCGAGCATTCCAGCTTGGACAGCTTGCCGATGCAGGCCAGCTGGAACTGGAGACGCTGCGAGGCGTCATTGAGTTCCTCCGGTGTGTACGTGAAGCAGACATCCACCAGGAACTTCATCTGTGTCTTGAACTCATCGTCGGCGGTCATGTCGTCGATGATGGCCTCCACCGAAGTCTGGTTGAGCGCTCCATCCTCTCCGGTCAGCTCGAGGTCCCGCAGAATGCACTGCTGCGCCATCAGCATGCCATTGTTGACAGCGCGCTGCTTGATGACGTCCAGGAGGCTGCGTCCGCGGCGGTTGGCTCGTCGCCGGTTGGGGCGTGCCAGCGGGCTCCTGACGGCTGTTCGGTACGCCTGCCCGACGCAGCGCTGCACGGTGCTCTGCACGGCCTCGGAGACCTGCACACCCTCGGGCACGCAGCCGATGTCGGTCGCCTGGCCGAGCAGCGCGTTGATGTCGACGCTGCGGAAGTCGATGTTGAACTCGGGCACTTCGGGCAGCTGCAGACCGAGCCGCTCGGCCAGCGTCTGCGTGATCGGAGAGCCGAGCACGCGCTTCAGCTGGGCCGTCTCATCCTCGGCAATGTCTGTGGGCGGAGTGAATTTAGGGCGGTGACAGAGACCGGGAAGTGCGGTGGGAGTGAGTCCGCTGTCAGATCCAGGGTGATCGGGGACAAATGATCCACGCAACGTCCGGAACTGTTAAAAAATATGCAGGTTTCCTACTTCCTAGCATATCGAAGAACCAAAGCATTTTTTATCAGAAACCGATTGCTTGGAATGGCGTAGCATCAAAAGCGAAACGCAAAGATCCTCTTTGCTTTGTATGTGCCAGCTATTTGAAACAGATACAGAGCAGACAAAACAGTTTATGCCTGCTTCTGTTTCTGATGTCTGCTTCTGCAAAACAAAAACAACTGCGATTGCTGGTAAGGGGCTTTCGATGTCTTTTATCATATTTGTTGTTCAACGTCAGCTAAGGTTTTACTTTTGACAATAGGATTCAGTCTTCAGACAAGGGCCTACGAAAGCCGAGCACCTGCATCGCTCCATATTTGTCTGTAAGCCCGAAACTTGCTATACCTATGTGATATCTTGTACTTTGGCTTGGTATAAGTAAAAACGGCTTTGGAGACCGTACCGGCGCGCGGCGGGGCTACTCACTAATGGCGGAGGCGGCAGCCAGCAGGGCCAGCAGCAGAACCGGGACGCGCTCCATGGTGTGGCCGACGTCAGCCTGCTGAGCGGCCCCGGCCGGCGCCCGGTCCCTTTATAGGCGCGCTGCACGGGCCCGTATCCGGTCACACAGGGTCGCCGGCAGAGGGCGCGCCGCCGGGGTCGGCCTGGCGACGGTACGTCGAATGGCATCCCGGTTTGCCATGACATGGCTGTATTTCACGGACTTTGTCGATTGCAGTGGGTGGGCAACGAATAGATATAATTTCGGGATACGCGTGGAACATTCTCGCATCCTGAATGTCCGTCAGTATTAATGACTTTGAAGTTGCTTCTGTCACTACATGTCGGGACAGCAAATTTTTCCAAGACAGGCCCAAATGCAAATGTCCGACACCAAATGACACGAAAATGTCCGAATGACTGCTGCTGTTGATATCATGGAAACCAAATCTGGATTTTGTGTTCCCAGTGCTAGAAGAAGAAGTAATCAGCCCACACTGTAAGGCTGTTGCTTATGCGCCCCGGTCAGAAATCGTGTTCGGCCGCGTTCATGGGTCGCTTTTTCCGGCGGGCGGAAACATTGAACAGCGGAAGCGTGACGGTCAGGTGGCACCCGCTGCTCAGTCATGGTGGTTGGCCCAACCCGATCCCAAACTGGCAAATGATTCCACATAATGGAGCTCAATCGGGGTCCTGCATGATGAGTGACCTCAGTTCGGGATTTGAGCGGTCGGTGGAGCAAACGAGACTTCCATCTAAGTTAGTCGATGACAGGGGAACCCGACGAATGTGAGCCTGTCACTTCGTTCTTGTTTGCAATATCCTTCCATGTGTCTTTTGCCAGTCATTTTACAGCAGAGTATGTCCAGATGTTGGTATAACGTATAACGGCAGCTGGTATAAAGAAGGACCGCTGCCCTTCTGGATCTGCAGCTGTCATGTTTGTCATCCACTTTTTCAACGTTGTAATGAAAAAGCTACCTGTCAATTTTCGACAGAACAGATGGATCCTGCTGTGATCTCCGGCATATTACTCTTCAGCAGCTAAGCAGATGTGGACGAGACAAAGTACAAAAAAGTGAAATAATTTACCAGGCCGTTCAGTATTTACTGCTAATTTTGACTGACTATATTCCTTATCCCTCCCGTGCATCGTTCTCTCTGTCACTGCGCAGCCGCTAGCATTCCAGAGGCGTCAGCATGACCAAATGAATCGCGAAATTGGAAACGACCTATTAAAGTGGTCAACGATCCGGAACATTTCCCGTGCACGCCCAATGCAACGAGCATGGCACTTTGCAACCGAGCTCGGCTATGCGCCATTAGGCAGGAGGCGCGTGGTCTACACCGGGCTGTGAAACCAGCGGACTGGCCTTTTAGCATGGGGAAGCTCATAACATTCAAGACAGAGACTATGATTGCAGACCACGTCTGATTAGACTGAGTGGTCCTCAGTGGCGCAGCCAGAACTCTGGCGACGGGGGTGAGAGACGTTCGCGATGGGCCCCCCAGCAAAGTGGGCCCCCCTCAACCTAATGGGGCCCCTTACCAACAACGAAAGGTCAGATCATTGTCCTGATCATTACCAGCCAAATCGGGGAAAAGGACAAATATCTCTTGATCTGAAGAGGCACGTAAAAAACAACAGTATGTTTACAGAAACACGACCATTCTGCCCATATTTGATGGACAGCGTGCAATTGATGGCCAGCGGCCACTCAAATGGTCGGGCTAGGTCAAAAAGCTTTTAAAAAAGCTCAACATCAGTTTTTCGACTATTACTTTTGATAGGTATAGGAGACGAGGTAGAGTAATGAAATTGTCTTGAAGGTGTTAATCATCCATACGGATCAGTTGATGACCATCATGAACTTCTCAAGTAAGGGCATGACCTTGATCTGGCGGTCACATTTTGAAGTTGAACTTTTTATGTGAAATTATAGGTGTTAACATTCGATGCATGTTAACGAGAGAATGATGACAAAGTAAATGTCTCATAATTTTTCTCACCAAAGTTCTTGCAAAAATTCTTAGCAAAACTATTTTGGTAAAATCCGACTATTTAGATGGTTTTGCCCTCTGCTCTGAAATGGTGCCTCTTATGCCTGAAATGGGCCCCTCTCAGGCCTCAAACGGGCCCTCTCTGGCCTCAAACGGGCCCTCTCTGGCCTCAAACGGGCCCTCTCTGGCCTCAAACGGACCCTCTCTGGCCTCAAACAGGCCCTCTAGGGCATGAAATGGGCCCTCTCAAGCTTGAAATGGGCCCCCTCAGGCCTGAAATGGGCCCCTCTCAGGGTTGAAATGGGCCCTATCAGGCCTCAAACATGCCCTCTAGGGCCTGAAATGGACCCCTTCAGGCCTGAAATGGGCCCTCACAGGCATCAAATGGGCCCTCTCAGGCCTGAAACGGGCCCCTCTCAAGCCTCAAACAGGCCCTCTAGGGCCTGAAATGGGCCCTCTCAAGCTTCAACTGGGCCCCTTCAGGCCTGAAATGGGCCCTCACAGACCTGAAATGGGCCCTCTCAGGCCTGAAATGGCCCTTTCATGTCATGGAACCGGCCCTCCTAGGCCTTGGATTAGTTCAATCGGGCCTTGGATGTACCCCCTAAAATCATAAAATGGGACTATAAATCCTAAAGGGGGGCTATCAGGCCTGAAAACTGTTTTTCAGTCCTATGACGGACCTTGACATTAGTGATAAAAAATTGTCAGGCTGCATAACGTTACAGTTCGAATCGACGGTGGGCCCCTAGGATAAGAGACGGGGGTGAGATCTCACCCCTTTCACCCCCCCCTGGCTGCGCCACTGGTGGTCCTCAACTGTTGGTGGCAATCAGCATTTCGCTGGTGCGGACGGCTGAATTCGTCAATATCAACAGCATGTCAATCTAAATGTTCGGACGTCCAATGTGGAGCTTAGTGTGGTTTTGGGCAGGCCACTGGTCGAAGTTCCTGGTTTCTTCTCGCACTCCAATGCATAGTCATATACGTAGTGATTTATGACAGGTGCGGCTGATAGCGGATCGAGTCATTTGCTTTGAGTGAGATTCAGACGCGGAAGTTAAATTAGTGTGCCGGTCTCGAGCATACTTCGACTGGGTAAAAATGAATGTAAAATACAGGGGCGTAGCCAGGATTTCCTCCAGGACGGGGCCAAACTTGCAGGGGCCCAAGGTAAACCCCCCTCAAAATCCAAAAAGTCATCGGATTTCATCCACTATTTTTGGAGGGGGCCCAATTAAAAAAAAAAATAATAAATGAAAAAAAATGTTAGAACTGAGGGGCAATTTATAACCAATGAAGAGAGCCCAGAGGGCCCTAGCGGCAAGGTCTCAGGCCCGAAAGGCCCCCGCGAACCCAGTGGAGTGCCCCGAGGGGCCCTTACGCTACTTTTATTGTGCCCCTTACCGTACTTATGACACCGCGTGGGGGCCCTTTTGGGCTCCAGGAGGGGGCCATGGCCCCTATGCCCCCCCCCCTTGGCTACGCCCCAGGTAAAATATCGTTTCATAGCAAAGTCATTACGATGTTATATAGCTATTCGCTGTCAGAACCTTTTCATCTCGTCCCTGTCGCCGTTCACGCGCCTCACCCCTCCCATTCCAGGCCGCCGGCCAGGACCGCGTCGCGCGCGCAGTCACGGACGCCCTCCGGGACACCCTGCGGCAGAACGCGCTCGCCATCGCCGGCAGCCCGGTGCTGTACCGGGACGACACGTACGGTCACGGCTGGCGGACCGAGCTGGAGGCGTCCTCAGCTGCCGACCACAGCTGCCTGTGCGGCCTGGTGAGCGGCGCAGACCTCCGCGGCCGGCTGCGGTTCAGCGAGCTCACCCCGTCCTACCTGTGTGAGGGCACCGCCGGCCCGCCGACGGCCGCGCCCGCCCCGCTCGACCCGGCCGAGATCTCTGAGGATTGTCTTATAGACTGCGGAAGGGTCCGGCTCGGCGGGATGGCCTCGGCATTAGAGGCCTGCCACGCCATCCTAGGTATCGGGACGTGCGTGATTGAGAAGACGTGAGCCAACAGCGGGTCGACAGTGTGTGTTGTGAGAGGAAGCCTGCCTGCAGTCTGCGCGTATGGTTGTGGTTTGCTAAGTGATATGCTGTATCGTCCTAGTCTATTGTAATTGCGTGATAGGATAATAAATTATCATTCACCTATTATTCATGTTTTGAAGCAGACATCGAACTTACTATGAGCGTTGTACCCAAACCGGCTTCTCTGGGTTAATGCGACGGACACTTCGAGTCACCACTGAGCCAGAACCTATGCAAGTTCAGTCACCGGTCTGCCCACTTGGGCCCCATCGAGCGGCTGCGGTCAATCAAAAACGGCGGTCTTGGATAGCGCGTCTATTGCACCAGTGACCGGCGAGCGGTGCGTCAAGTACCGTGAGCAGTTAGGCCACAGCAGAGACAGACCCAGAGCACTGGGACACACACCGAGACGGGTCAGCGGGGTTAATGGCGGCGCGCGGCCGCCGGGGCCGGCTACACAGACACTCCCGCGGCGGGCCGCCGGCACACGGTGCGCATCCAGACCGCAGACAGACGGCGCGGCACCCCACACCCTTCCCCGCAGGACCGAGCGACCCAAGCAGCTACAGCCATTTACTGGCTTTTCAGACCTTCAGACCGCGGATCAAGCTTTGGCTTCAAGATTCAAATATTAAAAATGACTAAACTCGAGATTGCGTATTCCATCACATGCCTGCACAAGCCCAAGCGAAGCAATCTGACGCGTTGCAAAATCCTCTAAGAAAGTCAGACCATACATGATCCGGATGACGGGTACACAGCTGACTGTAGATGCGCAATTCGTCACGGGCACAACCCAGGTATTGCCAAGCGAGGTGGGGCGTGGCGGCGGCTCCCTACGCCATGTTCACAAAATTATCTCCGATGGCGCTGCGCGGAACACGGCGGCGGCGGAAGACGGTTGGCACGTGCGGACCCTCACCCAACAAAAACCCTCACACACACGCACACATATAGAGAGACATGGATCACTGTAGCGACTAGTTCAATCACAGGGGGAGGACAGCGCAGCAGCGACGGTGGGAGGGGGGGAGAGACTACGGGAGGTGAATTCCCCACACCAGGGAGTGCAGAGGTGCACCAACGCGTGCCAAGCGGCGCTGCTGGCCGGGCTAAGGTCACACAGGTTACGAAAATCTACAGGACGTCACTCCCGGTGCCGCGCGCTGGCCAACAGAGATTCAGCGGTGGAGGGGAACTGGACAAGTTACGGGAGGAGCGCCGCGTTAAGTACGTTATATCACATCAGGTTAGGGGGTAACCAGCTGAGCTGTTGCACTATGCCGGCTACACGCGTCACTGCCAACAGGCAAAGCAGCCCTTGGTTCAAGGCATACACGCAGTTCAATGGCCTAAACAAGCCCAGCATGCGTGCTCGATTAAATGATTGCCCACTCATCACAGACTACTCGTGGTATTTTTGGCAGCTCGCAGCTTAAACTAACGTTTCAGCTTTCCAGAGATCAAACAGGCAAGCGCTTTGGACGATCAGTAAGTCGGTCTCAGACATTTTACTATGGTTTAGTCATGTTGCAGCAAGTCATGGCCCGGCGAAAGCGAGCAACTTGGACGTTGACACTGGGAAATATGCATGGGGAGGAAGAAAGGGCAACTATTGCACTACGAAGCGGATGAGCAATTACTTTCCAAACGCCTAAGTGGGCCGGGGCCCGATACTATAAAAGCTCACACATGAACCACATCCAGATAAATGGCACATACCCCGGGCATACATTGACACGCTTTGGTTATAACCGCCCAAGCAGCAGAGCTCCTACCCACCCCGGGGGCAGATTCGCCCCGCCCCTCGCACAACCTATCGGCCAAATATCTCAGCTGAGGTTCAAACAAAGCCACGCGGTAGCGCTCGTATCATACGGCCCTTCAAGATCATAGAAGTATATAAAAGTCTCACGAACACAAGCGTAGCACATTATTATCGTCGGCGAAAACCATGATCATGGGGAAGATTGAAGTCTAGTCGGCCCTCCGCTGACCGGCAGACAGACTGCTTTGGCCGATCACCCAGCCGTGGATGGTGCCTATCGGGTCATGTTCCTCTGCCGCTTGTCTTCCATGGTTTGAAGGTATTCACTGAAAGAAAACGTGTACGGTGAAAAACAGCAAAACATTTTCAGACATCAGAAGAAAACACTCAGAAACGGCTTCGCAAGAGCAGAATAATTCAAGTTACCATTAGGCGTGATAATAAAGTGATAGACAACAACTTACAGGAGCCGGACAATCAAGCTAATCAAGACGGGAAGCACATTTAGAAAACTACCATCTTCATTTTTTAACTATCATATTGATTCGACCACCAGTCGTGCGCAGATCAGCTTAAAATCGAGATGACGGGCACTCGATACGCTACACGAACCCAGCCATCTACGATATACTCGGTGACCCCGTCCGCTGACGTCCCCTCGCTCCACTGCCGACATCCCCGACCTCCCCCAACTTTCTCCCTTCCTCCACCTCTGGCGGTACTCACAGCTCCATCGTATGCACGGTACTCTCGGGACAGATGGTCTCCACCCGCACATGGCACTGTTTGTGCACCTTGGCCTGGCAGTTGCGGCACTCGTAGGCCTGCTTTCCGAGCCAGCGCGGCAGGGACTTCTCGCAGACTGAGCAGAGCGCGCTGCGGCAGACGAATGGAGGTCAGTGGGCGGACAACACAGTGACAGACATAACTGAACTAACAGCGGGTCACGGTGGCCAGCGCGGCAGAGACTTCTCACAGACCGAGCACAGCGCGCTGCGGCGGACAGTGGGGGAGATCAGTGGGCGGACAACACAGTCTGACAGACTAACAGCTAGTCACAGTGGCCAGCGTGGTCTTGTCGTGGCCAGCTAGTCACAGTGGCCAGCGTGGCAGAGACTTTTCACAGACGGAGCACAGCGCGCTGTGACAGGAAGCGAGCGGTCAGGGGACTGACCAGTGACCACTCAGTAACAGACACAGGCGACACGGCGCAACAGAACAGGCCACATAGCACAACATCAATTTTCAGAACAATTAGAGCAGTCGCCTTAGCTATATGACACGGCGAATCTAAGCCCAGCTATTTCGCAGTAAACAACTGAAAACTCCCTGTTCACAGCCCAACAGTATAAAACTGGGGCAGTTGCTACTTGCTAACCCTTCCCGGTGACTTGACTACTAAGACAGCCTAGCCAGGCGGCGATCAACTTACCTCGGCAGGTGACGCGCGACGAACACGTGCTCGTTGAAGACGTGCAGCTTGGTGCCCTTCTTCCGCAACTTGCCCCGCTTGGCCAGGTTGTTCGGAACCAGATAATGCCTGTGTGCAGAAGGCAAGTGTCAGGTATCAAGCACGTCAAGAACGAGAATATTTTGTACGCAGCGGTTTGAGTACATTGGGATGCAGCCTTAAAGAAAGACATCTGACATCGACCTTTAAAGTTCCGATAAAACTTGATGCTCGTAAAAAATCCGTCAATTGTCTATTGTTTGATGGCAGTGTACGAACAAAAAACAAGTTTATAGCAGCAATGAAATTGGAAGCATGACACGAGCAATAAGAGGTAAGGTCGGGAAATTTGCGCTTTTAGTCCGTGATGCATGAAGGGCGGTATGAACGAAACGACGGTGGCGCGATTGAAGAGGCGACTCACTTGAGCACCCCGTTTTCGGTCGTCTCCAGCACCAGCGAGGACTGGTCGTTGACGTAGGTTCGGTTCGACGCGTTACTGATGCCCGACATATCACTGAGGCTGGAGTCGTCCGGTCCGCCCGGCCGGCCGCCTGGTGCAGAGGCACGCAGAAGGATACGTCAGGTCACGGACCTCAGAAAACGCGGTTAGAATCAGGGCGTAGCTTCTAGTTCTAATATCGGGTCACTACGACACGACATAACTATCATGCTATCATGCTGCGTGAGTATCATGCTACACAGCTAAAACGGCAGCTCTCCTGTTCGATCAATATGAAAATGCATCGCAGTGAGGCACTGACATACGTTCTCTAGTCCAAAAGTCAAGCCATCTTTTCATAGCTACACAAGCGACAAAACTTATCCTCAACCGTACAACAGAATAGCCATAGCAGTTGCTCCTCACTGGTAAGTACTAAGTACTGAGTACAAGCACCAGCTCCCCTTGGTATCCCACGGAGGGTGTACCTCATAGCCACCCTCTTCCCTCCTCTCGTATCTCCAGAGGGCGCAACTCACTGAGACAGGGGTGCGAGCGGCGGTCTCCGGCTGCGGCCGTTGCGACTGGGGGACCGGTGCTGCCACCACCGCCTGTTTCGAGACACGGCACCAGTTGGAGCTCGATGTTAGTGCGGGGTGTGAGAGTGGCGAGGGGGTTAGCGAGGAGTAAGTGGGGGATAGCGAAGGGGTAAGAAGGGTGCCGCCAGCGGTATTAACTAGCTGCTGCAGTTGTTAGCATGATTGGGGTTTCAGAATAGGGTCTTAGTACAAGCAAGGCGGGTATGAAATTCAAGAATTAGCAGATCATGGATAACTAGCAAAAGCCAATAGATGGGCAAATAAGCTGTGTTAGATAAGCATTCAAATGTGGTAGGTATGCACGAGTGCTGAGTATTAAATGGTCATTGAATTTGGTGCGAGAGTGCCAGGCAAATTACATTTGGAAGTGTCAAGGCAACTAACAACCAGCAGGGTAACACAACACACCGTCTCAATGTTATCGGCTATTCAGGTTTTATCTGGACACTCAGGAACGAGGAGTCGAGTTCGGGTTCACATCCTACCACACCCACACTGAAAAGGGTATAAAAGACCGTGAATCTCAACAGTGCGGGTGTCAAAGCGTGCATTTAGTGTCTCACCCTAGCTCCAACAGTCCTGCCAAGCTCCATGTCCGCCCCCTGCCAACTCCGTGCACCCGCTCCCCGAAAGCCCTCCCTCCCCGGTCGAGGTCACTGACCTGGTACGGGCACGGTCAGGTAGTGGCCTCTATCCAGGCTGGCGCTGCGGCCCGGCTCGTCCTCCCAATCCTGTCTCGCCCCGGGCTCGGTTGACTGACTGCGAGACTTGCTGCCGCCCAGCCGGCGGCGTAGCGTGCCGAACAGGGAGCGCTTCTTGGATCGCCGCCGGCCGCGCGCGCCCTCGTCACCTGACAGGGCACGG